ATTTAACCTCAAATTCACAAATAGTTAAAGATCTTCAAATGCTTGTGATACTGTAGCACTATCCTCTGTTGTAGATTCATAAGTTGGAAGGTTTTTAAAGGCAGTGGTTGAAAGTAAGTACGTTTACTCAGTAAGTGCAGTTTTTAAGTACTTATACTTCCCTTGAGTATTTCTATTTTATTCCAATTTATGCCACTACAATTCAGAGGCAAATATTGTATTGGTCAACTACATTTATTTGAGAGCTCTAGTTATTTTAAAGATCAAGGTTTTATATACAAAATATATAAAATACTGTTGAAAGCACTGTTATAGATTAAACTCCCCAATGATATATTTAATAAATAAATTAGCTTGACTAAAACCAGCTATAAAATAAGATAACAGTACAGTACACATTGTTCTTTAACTCAAGACTTCTTTCAGCGCCGTTTAAGGTAGAACTCAGTTTAGAAAGAACGTATCGTTAATAGCTTTTATTGCTCTAATGTAGGACCAGAAAAACAAACAGATCCAGACGTTCCACAAAAGATAAAAAGACAGAAAAATAGCTGTGAAACCGGAGATTCACTAAGATTTACCTGCTGTGGACCAGTTGCAGTTTTTCAGACTTGTGAAGATGCTGGTTCATAAATCTGAGGCAGTGAATGAAGTTTGGGAATGCAGAGCTTAGTTTCAGGCCAAGTCTGTTCCAGGAATAGACACATTTGTGAGGGTTAATGCATTCTTACATTTAGAGAAATCTTTTGTTAAGTGATAATAAGCAAGTCTGAGCTACCAGTCTAGACTAATAGGATGGATTGGAAAGAAATGACTGTAGCAGCTGTCTGGTTCAGTGCCCAATATCCTCAATTCCCACTTGACTTAAAAATGTTCAGACTAATTTAATTGACTCAGATGTGTGTTCATGTATCATGGTCATATATCAGATATAATGCAACTGAAAAAGTATGTATGGACAAGTAAAGATCAAAGGTTACATCAACTTTAACCTCAGGTAAACCAAAGTGTAATTAAGGGTTAAACTCAAGTTCAAAAGAAAATAAAACTTTAGTGACTCATAAAGCACCACGAAGGAAAAATCAAGTGGATCAAGTCGAATATAGTGGTAATAATGATTGTGGCGTGTTGCAGCAAAGTGCACTTACTCACTGCTTGGCAGAAGAGGAACCATTCATTAGTTTTACAGCTCGACCACAAACCTGCACGATCACATACACGACAGGAGGGATTCCTCCGCCCTTACGCTCAATGTCAGGGACGTCAGCTTGGAGGAATCTCCTCCTGTAAAAAAAAAAACACCTGCAAGTTACTGGTAAATCAATGAATATCTACACACAGAACAAGACTGATGATGTCTACGTAAGTTAAACAAAATCAGTTTTATTTGGCTTTATACAGGCAAGGCTATAATACATTTCACAACAATGTAAACTGTATTATTGTCTAATTATCTTTAGATTCTACAAACATAGATTCAGATTAAATTTTTCATTTTGTCCTAGAGGTGCAATGTAACATATATTCATTACTGTATAATCACCACCAACACAAACTGTTGTGTTTTCGTTACAGTAGCCCAGAACGGACAAACCAAACATTGGCTGTACATAGTTTTTTTGCAAGTTTTGTGGCCACCATAGTTTCTCCTACTCACTTCACAGCCCCATTCTCATTTCCAGGTTGTCAAATACAGACGCGAGCAGTGTTCAGTTAGTTGCGTATTGCTACTTCACTGCCAGATGCCACTTAATGCTACACACTGGTCCTTTAAAATAATGTAATCATTTGGTGCCCCATAGAGTGTGAAGTGGAGTAAATCATTACCATTACTGTTTCACACCAATATGGTTTGGCTGCTTAAAGATGAAACTTTTTATCCACAACTGCTGCATGAGCATTAATCCATCGAATTAAAATGAAATTGACATTTGAGGTTGAAGCCAACTGGACCGCTTGGCTCTCGCAGCTACAGAATAAACAAAACTACCAGTTTGCTGGTTTTAAATAAATTAAAACATGTGGAGTGACACCAGTCCCAAGTGCTGCACATTTTGTGCCTCTTTGGAACCGTCATCGCACATATCTGGAAATGATTATTTGGTCCAGGGAACATTTCCTCACTAGCTTACATCACGTTGATGCATTTCCGTCATTTTTGTTTGTTTTTCAATTGGGCGTGTGTGTAGAGAGAGTCATGAAGTCAGGAGCGTTGAAACAAAGAGGAAACACCTCGAATGAACCCAGAGGTCCCGTCTGATAACTGACTGGTATCTCTCTCACATTCACACACACGCGCACGCACGCACGCACAAAGTTGTGAATGAAAGAGCATCAAGGCTGTGTCGCTGCTCGAGGATCCTGAGGAGGGGAGCTTTCTTTTTTGTGGGAGCGGCCCCTCACTGTGAGGGGCCCCAGGGAATGTGGGGTGTCCTACGTGGAGCATCGGCTGTGGGAGGCAGAGCAGGGGCACGAGGCCCAGATGGATGTCAGGGCAACATCTGTTCCACCTCCTGGCTGGGTCTTATCAGCAGAAATGCTGCCACACACACTGGACGGGAGAAGACAGAGAGAAAAGGGCATTCTTTGCAGAGTTTAAGAAAACATGCCTGCTTTTGTTTGTCTTGTAAACGAAAGTTAGGTTCCCTGTCGGGTCGCGCATTTGCATTTCACAAAGCTCACAGGGTTAATTTGTTTGTACTTCTGGTAGGTCAATATACTGTATGTGGCATTATATACTATAACATACATGCCAAAATGTAAACGTCCACTGAATCATCTTTACATTAAAGCTTCCAAACCAAAAAGACAAATACAAAAGTCTTCAAAGTCTGTCACTGTAATTCCTATAACTTGTGTTTATATAATACAATTTCACTGTATTCTGTTATGAGGTTATATTTAAACTTTTGTCAGATCAAAAAATGCTAAAAAAAATGTACTTGGGTCGATCATCAGATAGTGTTTTGGGATTATTGAGGGAAATAAATGTGAACAGCAGTGAAAACACACACAGGCAGCTCTAGTACTTTACTGTTTAAGGAGTCATGCTGAGGTTGTGCCGACAAAGATATGTGAAATGAAATGTGGCAAAAGTGTGAGAATATTTTACAAAAACCCACATGGCTTCATTCATTCTGTGGTCAGTCTTCCTACACTGTAAAATGAGAGTTGGCTTCAACACAGGCCATGTTTAAATCCAATCCACACTTGATGGAAGATTCCCTGTGTTCTCACTGACTGTAATGTGCGTGTATTGTAACCAAGTTTTGAAAGCAAAGAAGATTAGTAATGACGTGAATGAAAATCAAAACCAAAAAGACAAATGTTTTAAAAGAAACTATGCTGGAGGCTTAAGATTTTCATGTTGGAGAATAGTTAGTGGTTAGCAGGTTTGAACTTTACTGCGCACTGTAAGTTTAATTTACTGTTGTTTGGGGTCGTTCTTTACATGCAGAATCTTAAAAAAACGCTCTGGCATTTCAGCACGTTTTGACCTTTTGTACCAAATCACCCTTTATATCTATATACTCTTTATATTACTGCCAACAATTAGGCTTGCAATAGTTAGTTAGATTCCTCAAGGGGTTTTTCCTCCCTTCCAGGCAGTCATTAATTATCATTCATTTTAGTGAATTATAAAAATCAACTTGCAGAGACTTGAAAGTTTTCTTGAGATACTGTATCCAACGCAGTAAACATCAAGTCTCCGTTATTGTTGCTTGGTAATGAAAACTGTGAGCGCAGGCAGATTAGAAAAGTCTGGACTGTATTACAACACAACAACAACAATATAACTTCCTTCTTATCTGTAAGCCACACTGAGCGGGTGCTGCCAAAGAGGACAAGAGAAAAAAAACTCCCAGAACACCACAGCCAGACACCAGCAATTAAACAGGTAGAGCAGGTAAAGGTCCAGTGTGGGAGGAGAGGACTGGCTACATCTTTTTCAGGGGAATAAAATCAACTGTACAGACAGAAAGAGAGAGTGAGGAGGAGGAGAGGTCCCCTGTCTCTCTCTCTCTCTCTTCTTTCTCCCAGGAGGGCTGCTTCGCTGAGGTCCTGGCCTCTTCCCTTCCCCTGGGCATCCTGGATGCCCATACTGAGGGAGGGCTGCTTTGGCGTGACCAAAGGGAAGCAGAGCGAGTAAGAGAGAGACAGAGAGATGGAGACAACCTGAGAGAGAGAGAGAAAAAAAATGGTTTGAAGAGAGAGATAGAGAGGACTCAGAAAAACAGAAAGAAAGTGAGAGCGACAGGAAGAAGGGAGGGGGGAGCGAGACGAGCGCAGCAGCCCATGGTTTGTGTCTCAGGGCTGCAGCAGCTTCCAGAGCTGGTGTGCAGCAGACTGAAGAGAAGCACGTCTGCCTCAGAGGCAGAGACTGGAAAACAGGATCAAAGAGTCGCCAGGGCAACCTGCATGACACACATTGTATTAAAGCCACACGGTTAATTTGAAAGAGATGGAAGAAGGGCAAAAGGAGAAGAAAAGGGGAGGCAGAGGTAGCACTGAGTAGAGTATATTTATCAGGAACTCCTGTCTCACTCGGTTAACTTTCCACTCAAAACTTTCTTCAGCTGCTACACTTTGACTTTTTTTTTTTTCTTTTTTTAAACTTTGGCTCGACCTCCACCGGCTCATCTGCGTTTTCCAGATTATCTTCCAGTGTCTCGGATTTCCACAGGTCACCTTAAATCACAAATCAGAGACACTGTGAAGAAAATGTTTCCAGAAACGGATGAACACTCAGCTCATCACACATTTCATACTGATAACATGATGTATAACGCTACAAACATGAGCTACACAATTCCATCATTATTCTGTGAAGGCAGAAAATGTTTATACTGTTTTACCTAGAAACTGTCAACCATACTCCCATTATAAGGTTACACATTAAGAAACAAGAGACATTATGGCATTTAATGTGACACTCAGAGAAATATCAAACATTTTAACAAAGAGAAGTAATCACAGTGTAAATAACAACTAGGACAGTATTCAAATTTTTTAAACTTTAATTGCCATTTTAGACAAAACACTTGATTGAAAAAACAGAAATACAAAAAAAACAAAAAAAAAACCCAAAAACCGGCTGGAGTGAATGTCTTAAAACCTATGTGTGAGCAGATGATATGCAAAGTCCAACATTGGTATAATCCCTAATTGACAGATTTATTTTGCATTCAAGCGCCTGAATGCACCGATTGATCCAGACTGCAATAAACTACCTGGCAGATCTCACGTCAGGTACAAAAAGTTATTAAATCTCTACAAACAGGACAAAATACTGAACGAAACAACAACAACAAAACACAAGCACGCAGGAAGGAGGTGTGAACATTGTGAATTACTGAAGCACGTCTTGGGGACAACCACACACCTGTGGCACAATCGATGCGACTCATTTTAGAGGTGTCGAGTCCACACAGGGGCAGCCGGGCTGAAAGATGGCATGTGGGATAAAAGCCCCACTGAGCAGCAATGGGGACAGGGAGCGGAGCTGGAGTAGAGGGGCAGTGTTGGTTGGGACGGGGGTCCGTGATAAACAGCAGACAGGGAGGGGTCTTCACCGACAGTTGGAAGGCATTAGGGTGTCGGACAGGGACTTGTCAGATGCAGCTGTTGCTGTGGCTGATTGATAGAGTTTGTATTCCACCCTGATGGGAGACTGGAGTTGCTAGCCAGTGTTCAGAGGGATTATGTCAATTTCAAAAGGAAAAAAAAAAAATACAGTATGTAATGTAGAAAAAAAACAACTAAAAAACAACATTTGCTTAACACTGAAATGAAACTAAATCCATCACATTTGTCTACCTTGTGGCTACATCCAGCCTGTTGATCGCGGTTGTTTTTTCTTTTTTTCTTTTTTGGTCTTTGATTTGAAAGAATTCATAAGTGTGGTATGATATATAAAAAATCTGAACGGAGCTCTACGAGGTTAACATACAGAGCTATAAAATATATTCTAAGTTGCACATTTATAAAAGCTTTCAGATTTGTTCCCACTTTCTCAAAATGGACTCACTTCTCCATAAAGTCACGTAGCACTATGTCACACGATTAGTAGTACTTGTGTATGACTGCACAGGAGGGTACACAGCAATATGCCTGTCTGCATGTACATAATACCCCATGGAGATACTCAGACTACACTATTCAGATTAGATATTCAGACACGGTGTGACACACTGATATGTAACTACCGTACATAACACAAGGCTTTTGACTATGCACTCCAATCACACAACGACATTCGTTGTTAGAGTCAGAAAGAGAAGCACACTATACAGCCATACAGTACTTCTCAGTGGAAAGAACATCAACAGTGCCCACCCAAACATCCTGTAAAGTAATCACTGGAGATGTTAAACATATCTACAGACAAGCTGGCCTCCAGTTTGAGTGTGTGTGTGTGTGTGTGTGTGTGTGTGTGTGTGTGTGTGTGTGTGTGCGAGAGTGTGTGTGTAAGTAAGAGCGAGAGTGTGTGTGTTAGTGTCCAAAGATGACTGAAGGAATGCCGTATGTCCCACAAGCCATTGGTTTAATTACAATGGCACAGACAGTAGTAAACAAGATTTCCATTTCTGGCAAAGTTCAATGATTTTTCTTGACAAACTGCTTTACACTGGGTGGGTTTAATGGCGGCTCTCCTCTGTCAGGTTGTAGTGGCTGACTGTTGCTTGCGCACACTCTTCCAATTTGAAAAATGAGAGCTCAGTGTAGGGAGGATAATGTACAATACACTTCTCAAAGAGAGGACAACATCTGCTCTATTTTCTTTGTGTGTACATGTTTGTGCATGAGTGTGTATACATGGGCACCAGCAGGATGTGGTGTTTCTTTGTCGTTAGCCGCTAATGTCTCTTAGCATTAGCAGCGTTAGCATCATATCCTTGCAGGTTCTGTGTCTTTGTCTTCCAACAGGCTAATGAACTGACCAAAGATCTCCTTCACTGCCTCCATGTTGTCGGTGGTGCTGCCCTCCAGGATCCAGCGCTTCCCTCTGGCCAGGGGCTCCAGCTCAAAGTACTTCTTGACCTGCCGGAAAAACCAGAGAATTTGGTCAGTCAAAACATTCAGTATTAACTAAATAGTGTGTCCAATCATATTTAGATGGGTATCATCTTTTAAATATCAGCAATGACATATACATTTTATAAATGTTTACATTAACAGCTATGCCACTAGTCTCAAACCAGCATCATTTAAGGCCAATTATCAGCAAATTTTCATGTCAAACAAACCAGGATTATCATTTTGTTATTTAAATTTTTTGTTTTTACTGTTGCATTACAGTTTTCAGAGGCCACACTCACACACTGAAGCCATGCATCATCCCTGTCCACACATCAATTTGTTTTCCATACACAATGTGTTTTCTTCACATAATTACTCACAAATACATGAAGGCACAGCCATGAAACTGTCAAACACAGCTTTGCAACCAGAATGCAACCAAAGTTAATAAATCAAATAAAGTAAAATATAATTAAACTAAACAAAATAAAACTGCTTTCTTATCTGAAAAGTATGTGGCCTGTTGGCTTGGCACTGCTCTTTGTAACAGTTGATTATAAAGTTCATATGTTGGCTTTTAGCAGCTCATGACAGTGGGGGCGCAGTGAGGTTGAGGGGAGAACCAGAACCAGCTGTTACGTAAAAACAAATCTCAGCAGAGGGAAACAATGTCTTAGACCTCCACTGAAGGTACTGCAGGTTGTTAGGGTTTCTGACATTTTCAAGCCGAGAGTAATGGAAGCAATTTCGTTTGCCCAATGTGAACGAAGTTCAGCCATCTCCTCCTGTTTGTCGGATAGCCAGTGAGGAATGTACCAAGACAAATGTTACTGTCAGTAGCTCGGAGAAAAAAATCTAAATTCTAATAATGTCACTGATGCAATAGAGCTACAATTTCCAACCATGTATACTTGTTTAGTCAGTTTCATGCTCAGTTTCCCTGTTTTGTGTTTGTGAAGGTTTAAAGGAATGTGTCTATATTAGTATATGGATTGTAAGTATTTATAAATCCTTTAAAAAGGTGAGAGAATATATTAAAATATTTATCTTGTTAAAGTATGAAGAGCATGATGATACATTCCTGAAGTAGACTTTTTTTCTCTTGGTTTCTTTGACTAATTATTGTAATCTGGTTTTCAGATTAAGTGTTTTAAAGCACACAGGCTGGAAAGGGGACATTCATCAATCACTGCAGAAATACCAATGCTGTGAAGCCATGCAAAACATTACATTATGACTTGAATCACAATCTGTTGAGCATCCACATAGTATTCCTGTGTATATTTCTGCACATATAAAACCAAGTTTGATGATTAAACAAATTCTTAAAATAAAAACAGAAGATAACTTCAATATTTTTTTAAAATAAGTCTTTTCCAATTCAAGAAGAAAAATACATCTGTGCACCCAATAAACACCACCACTTCCACACAGGTGCCCATCACACTGTCAAATGACTTTTCAACTTCAAGTGAAATTGCTTTTGTCTAGACCGTGCTGGGCTGTCTAGCTGTGCCATGGTGTGTGGCATGAAGAGGATGGGGAGGAGGATGGGGAGGAGGAGGAGGAGGAGGAGGAGGAGGAGGAGGAGGAGGAGGAGGAGGAGGAGGAGGAGGAGGGGGGTATTCTTTGTGTCTGCTCAAATCCAGCCAGCCATGCCAGTGAGTTGGAGAGTGAGTGCTGTCTCTGCCCCTGAGCTGAGTCTCTGTCCGGGTGTAATGTGAGTTTAATGACAGATTAAGTCACCTCAGCCGCGTTTGGCTCAGAGGCCTGGCTAGAAAGCCGAGCGGACCCAAACAGTGTTAACAAATCTGTCTGGGTAACTTGAGCTGCCCTAGTCCAGGCTCTAGCCCCAGACCTAGACTGCAGACGATGCGGCTGGCTGCCTGTCTGGCTGGCTGGCTCACTTGTCTGCCTGTAGCCAAGGCCCTCTTCTGGAAGACTCTGGCCCCTGCACTGGCAGACAGTCAAAAGGCCAGCAGTGACCTCTGTGCAAGTGCAGACAGGCTCAAGCTTCTCTCACTTCCCCTCCTTGCCTCAAAACACACCCAGGGGCTTCTCACAGTCCAGCAAATGCCTTCTATCGTTGGTCAGATCAGACAACTGATCTTACCGATACCAGATGACTTGTCAAGTTTTCAGTGCAGCTTTAGAAGCTGGGCTGTCATGATAACACGAATAGTCTGAAATACTACTAAGAATCCCACATTTATTTAATACCTAGCTGGTTTAAACACCTTCATACGGGCCACATTTCATAAACAGGGCACATCCAATCCAGAGATTTTAATCATACCACAGGCGGAGAGGATAACGTCGCCAAACACTCTGTCTCAGTGTTAGATGACAGAAGGAACCCCATGACCCATGAATAGCCCGGTGCATCCACACTGGCAGCCGACAGTGTGGCCCAAACCAGTTTCTCTGAGATTAAGTCCTCCTAAGCACACTTATGCTTGCTTAAGGAATTGCGTGAGGCAGTGGGAAGGGTAAGCCACACAAGACGTGGGTTGCCAGATGGCTCCTAGGATGACCACTGGGTCACCCAGTCTAGCTTGTTCTAGGTCATACAGAACGGGGGCCTTGCCCTGTGCATAGGAGAAAGCGGCTTATGCATGCATAAGGGTGTCAAAAAATCTTTAATCACCTGTGTCTGTGTCAACTGTATTCCCGCTGCTGGAATCCAGCCATGTTAGCCACTGGGGTATACTGTTGGAGAGCCATAAAACTCAGGAAAGCGGAACTCTCTGGCAACACGCCTGAATAGTTACAGTGACTTCTGACTCTGACTAGTTGTGCAGAGTGGACAGTGCAATGACAAACAACTTGCATGGGCTGCATTATTATATTTTTTACAGACAATTGTATTACTGTATTATTGCAGTTGCTTTTAACAATTACTTCAGACACATGTAAGATTTGATGATAAACTGATTGATGATGGAGGATCTAAATGGGTGTTCAAGTATGTAACCAATCTAATGACTGAATAAAGGAGAAGTGGGGGTTGGACAGGGTGGGAAAGTGTATATAAAGGAATTTCTAAGTTAATTAATTTAATCGCTATTGGAAATCAGTATCTAGGCTATTTGCAGGAAAGAAACCAAAATAAACTTGTTCTGGAAAGATCTTTTGTCTAAAATTTCACATGTTGATTAACAGAAACAATTCAGCAATTACAGTTTGGAAAATGGGTCTGGAGGAAAATGACAGGTCGTTATGTTTGACAATTTGTGACCCAGTGTCTGCAGGGAGTGGCTGCACAGCTAGTCAACTAATCTTAAGCTCCAACCCTGGCAAGTCAACTTCATGCTCCTTAAGACAGTAGATGGGCATGCATGGCACGTGCACCCAGCTGCTCTATGACCTATGCCAGATTACGAGATGTGATGGTCACTGTTGGCATCGTGTGGAGTCAAGAGGATATCCTGGTAGATAAAAAAGAGCTTTGGCGGCTGTCTACTGCCAGCAAAGCCCTGCTCTGGCTGGCCTCCTGACCAACTAAACACACCAGGGAGGCAGACAGACAAAAAAAGAAAAGAAGACTGGATGAGAGAGAAGAGAAAGATGCCTGAGCCCAATTTTGTAGTCATGAAGGTGCATAATGTTGGCTGCTGACAATATATGAGTGAGAATATGTGTGACAAATGTATATCCTCTTTTCGCAAATCTCTGAGGATTAAAACTAAAAAGAAGGTGGCATTGTGCTCAAATGCCTTTTTTCTAAATTAAATTGAACGTTTTGTTCGTCTTACTATCATTCTTTGATAAAAAAAAAAGGTGCAAAGATGATAAACCATCTATTTCTAAAATTCTAGGTGCAAGCCTAATTTACTATGGTGATTTATTGACTTCAAAATTTAAGTCATTTTCCATGCAGCATTGTCATTATCTGTACCCTGTATGTTTCCTATAGTCATTCTGGCAGTCGAGTTTGTGCCGAGTAATTCAGGTTAAGTGCCCTTCTCAAGGGTGCAATGGCAGAGGTCCAAGGAAACAGAGTACACTCAATTGACATGCCATGTTCAGGATCTTTCTGATAAAAAGACTTGCTCTGGTTCAATGGTTTTGCGCTATGTACACGTATTTTGGAAATCTAAAGTCAGTTGTTTCATTCTTGCAGGGGCTAACAGCAAAGCCAGATGGAACAGACGCAGGTTTGTTGGATACACTCCTACAGAAGATCAGTATCGTAAAAGAAAGTTAAATGACCTGCGCTGTCAACTCTCAATTTCTCATTTAGGGCATTTTTTTCTGCCGAGTCTGGCTCTTGCAGTTGCCTCGGGTTCCAAAAGTCTGAGAAAAATATCGAAACTAAATTCAATAATATCAAATAATACTAATAATCTCTTCCTGTTTAAGTAATAAGATCATAAAAGGAAGAACAGGAAACGTTCACTTGAGAAGATTTTGCCTTTCAGCCATGTTTAAAAAAGCCAAAACATAAAGAGAAGCTGATAAAAAAGACTTACTCAAACAGATATGTTATCCTTTAAACACTGCTTTCCTGCAGGCAACTATCAAAACTCCTCTGTGGAGCAAGGAGAGCTTTACTCAATAAACTCATTGGAGAACCAATGATTTCAGCCTTGAGGTTTTCATTTGGATAAACTTCAGCAGGGATCCTTTTTTCAACAAAAATAACATCCTTTGTTCAAAGGCTACTTAAGAGCATGTGTGCATAAAGTGACCTATGGGAAAGGCAGCAGAAAGCGTCCAACCACATCTTTATTTATGTATTTAGGCGTTAGCTTTAAAATAACTGTCTCACTCAGTGGAAGATATGGCCTTCAATGCCCTTGTCCTAATATGTACCATGACCACATGTCTATCCTGCTTCACTGTCATGTGTCAAAACCTCACCACACGAGTAAGCTATACAACTGGAGAAGGAAGCATTAGGGGGTCTCTGAACTAGGGAAAGTGGCATACTCAAATATCCAAGACAATCAATTACACCATCCCCTGACATGTTGGCCCCTGTGAAAATATCAGTCACTTGGAAAGTGGCCCACACTGGC